CCCATCCTGGAGGTGTCCAAGGCCAGGTTGGACGGGGCTTGGAGCAACCTGGGCTGGGGGGAGGTGGCCCTGCCCAGGGCAGGGGGGTTGGAGCTAGATGATTTTAAGGTCCCTTCCAACCCAGACCATTCTGTGATTTTATGAAGTTTCTTTTAAAGATTTTGGCAGGGACTTTTTGAAAGCCTTTCAGAAAGCTGGGAAGATGATATGCATGAGACCATCTTAATGTTTTTGCGTGTTGTTCTCTAAAGAAATCTAATAGGTTTATTACATCAGATATTTTGTTTTCAAAGGCAAGATTGACACTTCTGAAGAAGACTTATCCAGTAATTACATTGTCTTTTGTAGCTTATACTAATTTATTCAGTATGATACAAGTTTAACAACCTATTAGCTTCCTCCCTGACCATTAAAAAATGGCATCACATTTGCCACCTCCTTGTTCCTGCGGTATGTAAGCAAGAAATTACATACCACCATTACCAATTCAGGAACTTCATTCTTGAGTTTCTTTAGGTCCTTTGGGTGACATGGTGTGCTTCTGTTACCTCTTACCATCCTAAACATACAACTTTGTGTTTGGCCAGATGAAAACATAAATGATTTTGTTTTATCTGCTCTACCTCTAGTCCTGTTGTGATTTGAGCTCTCCTTTTACCTATTCACAACCCTCCTCTTTTCTTGCAGGTTTGATTAGTTTTGGATTGCTTTACTTTGGGTTACTTAAAAAATGTAGAGCAATATAGGGCCAAGAATGATCTGTGCTGCGCCTCTTAGAAACGTATTGGGTGGGCAAGAGCATCACCTCCTTCTGTTTCAATAAGGTTTAGTGGTTTGGCAGCTAATCAATCTTTAATCCATTTAATATACCTTGTGGTCTTACAGTGCTTGGACACTTTAATTGAAGTATTATGCAACATTCAATCGTTACTTACATAAATCTAAACATATCATTATCAACACTGTTATCTTGTCAACAAAATGTGTAATCTCCTCAGATGACATTTGTGAAGTTAATTGGACCAGGTCATGTTGGTTGTTGTTTGTTTCTCATCTTTGATTTCATACAGAGACTTCCATATCTTGAGTCTGTGTTTTGACTCAGCTTGAGGGAAACTAATTATTTAGAACCTACAAAAATCAAAATCATCCTTTAACCCTTTCGTAGTAATTGTTTTCTTTGGTGTTTTGGTATTAAGATTTTTTTATATGTCAGCCTGTATAGTCTGGGGATCTCCTTGGAGATCTTTTTAACAAATCGTGACTTCTAGTTTCTTTGGATGTGTTTGTAAATGGATAGCCTAAGCGTAGGCAATAAGTTCGTAGCAGCCGAGTAACATCTTCTGTAGTGACAAACGGTGTAGGTGTTTCACAGCCCGTTCGGGATGAATCTCTAGCAACGGAACTTCCTCCCCCTGCTCTCCCGCTCCACTGTCCTGACCATAAAGAAATTGCATATGTTGTCGCAGAGACATGGGTGTCATTGCTGTCAACAGGATTTGTAACCAGCTGTACCCCGACCCCAAACCAGCCTGTGCACAGATTCTTCCTTATTTATGCTGCATATGATCCTCCTTGTGGCATGTGTATGAAGTTAGTGATAAAATCTAAATCATTATTAACATTATTATCATTATTCTTCTTACTATATTAAAAATGCTGTTAATACTGGATAGTATGCTTTATCCACTGCAACCAAAGAGGCTCCAAAACTGTGTTAGGATGTGATCAGTCTTCACATGCACGGAAGATTGCTTCAGATTCTGTTCTCAGGAATTTATTTAGCAAGCCAGGCAGGACTAATTTTAGGTATGGTTATTTCTGCATTGTGTGATGGGATAGAATGACTTTCTAGAGTATTTTTCAAACCTTGTTTTCCGTGACCACGTGCTCCTTTTGGAGATTGCATGCATTAATTTTGAAATCTTAATTTAAAAGAGAGAGTGAGAAGAACAATAAATAAACGGCTTTTCAATCCAGGCAGTCCTTGTACGGATACTTCATTGGGAGTGATGTCAAAGTCCATTGTGCTTTTTTCAAGTGTATTTTTAAAAGAGTTGGTTGCCTAGGTCAGTGCCTTTTTGAACAGAAGATTAATAAGCATCCGTGAAAAAAAGAAAAGTTCAGAGTATGCAAGTGAGAAGTTCTTCATGTGCCATCAATGGCAATAGCCAAACTACAAACAATAGTATAAAGAGAACAGAGAACGCTAGGCTGGCTTGTGCTTGCATAAGGATTTCTACTGCTCACAGCACCTTTATCCGTTTGCTGGTTCTCCCAGAACTGGAGCCTGTAAGCACTAGCCTGTCTGAGGACATAGCACCTTGCATGTTTTATTAGCTAAGTGAAGTTGCTTGCTGTTAAAGTTCTGAGAACTGCATCTTAACTGCATGACACAGATGCTCAGTGCAGAATATTGTGCTTTGGTGCTGTGTTAAATGCCATCTTTATTTATGCATGGTATCTTTTAGTGTTTCTAAAACATTCAGGTTTGACTACCCAAGCATGGATTTGCAGTTGCTGCCAGCAAATGTTTTGTTTGAAAGTTGTGACCTTAAATGCAAAGCAATTTCCTTTTTTTTCCCTTTTCTCCTTTCTAAGAACCTCTAGGAGTATGAAAACCTTTGTCGCTTGTTTTAAATATCCTTATGACAATTCCTTGTAAGCCTGTATGTATTTATAGTAAATATTACACTGTTTGTTACCAGGGAGATTGCAGCTATGAACTGGAGATTCAGCCTCACTTACGCATTGAAGATGTCAATGTTCAAAGGAATAAAAGTCATTTTTCCATCACCAACTCCGCAGTTGATCAGAAAGCATGCTCATCTAGAAAAGACATGGTGCACAGATCAAAAGTAAAACCATTTTTACTCAATACAAATGATAATGGGAATGAATTCTTTACCACATTTAAAATAACAAAAACAAAGGGTCCCAAAAGAACTTCTGAACTGAATTTAGAAGTACCTGGGTTGCCTACAGATAGTAGTGCTTCGGCTTCTTCCCCAGCAAGAAGGCTTGCTGTGGTTGAAGATACTGACCAGAGCAGTCAAAAGGATGAGGAACTCAAGGTGACATTTGACTTAAATGAATTTATTGACCTATGTGACAACAGTGAAAGTACTATAATTCATGAAAGCGCAGCGATAAAGGAATACAAAACTGTAGATAAAGCTTGTAGGTCACTGGGGACGAACCACACAGATTTGGGTTATAGTAGCTTCACAGTTGAGAAATCACCTGTGTCTTCTGACTTATTTTATCTTCCTGAGTCATACGTGGATTCATTAGCACTTGTGGGACCATCTGAGGAGCCTTCTTGGTTAAAACAAATACTTTCCAATGTGAAAAGGCTTTTATCACAGTCTCCTCCCTCTTTGAATGAACTTTATGATTTTGAAAACAGGATGAGAAACGAAGAAACAACACGTCCTTTTCAAAACGTTATTTCTGGTTATTCAGAGAGACTGCAGGACAAAGGCGTTCCTGTGTCCTCAGAAGCTGATCGCTCGCTGCTGCTCTTTGACAATGCTGAACTGAAAGTCGCCAATGAATTGTGTGCTTCTGTACGTACCTGTTTGACAAAAAGCATATCATCTTCCGAGACTGCTGCTGTTAATGCCAAAGGGGAACTTCACTGCGATGACAGCTTTGATAGTCTGTTTGACAATGAAGAATTCACTGAAATTCAAATAAAAACTACAACAATAAATCACACTCTGACAAATAACCCTTCAAAGAAGTATTTTATTCAAAAAGATAAAGAACATCTTGAAATGAGCAAGAAAAATGTGATTATTGATGAAGAAAAGAGTATACATTTATTTGAAGATGAACGTATTTGTGACACAAATCATGGAAGTTTTTCTGTGAGCAACAAGCGTTCAGTCAGGTCAGATCCAGGCGAGAGTGTTGTTAGGCCAGTTGCAGCGCAAGGCTCCGCGGGGTTTCCTTCCGAGGTGTTCTGCATCAACGCTGACAAAGCCTGCAAGGAGCAGCCCATGAGCAGTAAAACCCCGGCCAGGGAAGTGTCGGGTGATATTAGGGTGACCGAGCAGTCTCTGGATGATGATGATCTTTACGACTGTTCTCAAGAACTATTTTCCGTTCATTTTGATCTGGGATTTTCCATCGAAGAGTATGAGAATGAAATCTCTGAAGAAAATATAAATACTAATAACACTGGAAAATTAAACAGTGCCTCGGAGAGTCATGCAGATGTTAAATCCACTGAAAATAATAAACAAACCCTGAATGATAGATCCAGACTTGAAACATCACCAAAATGGAATTATAGAAATCTTGAGAGAAGAGACATTTCCACACCGTTGCCCTTCCAGAGTCGGAGCGTGAACGCTGGAGAAGGGACTGAGGGCGCCACCACTGCAGGGCCTTCCTTGAAGTCAGGAGACAGAAGAACGGGAAGTGGATCACCTGAAGCTTTGGCTTCCGCACTTTCTACCCCAACAAGTAGAAAGGTTAGGAATATTGTAGCTGTCAAAAGAATTCCTATGAATGTCTTCTCTAGTGCCGGGGAGGAAGTTCTAGAGGTGCCTCTTACAGATCAAGTAAATAAAATCCCACATAGGCAGAACTGTGGGAGTTCAGCCATGGATGCACTTGATTCACCGTTAGGAAGAACTGAAAACCTGGAAGACGCCAACCTTCGTAGTTCACACGTGTCTCCTGCTGACGGTAGGGATTCCAATGGTACAATTACTTAATATCTTCATGTTTAAATATATAGAATCCAGTGTCTTTTGGATCCTCAATTTGGTTTATGACTTAGGTGGGAAAGATGAGAGCAAAAGGGAATAATGGTTGTAATACTAGAAGCTGGGTCAACAATGAGACTTTCCAAAAACTTAACCCTGCGTACGAGCTTAGCCATTTGAGGCTGAAATGCATGCACGCATATTGGAGGAAATACTCAAATTGAACCTCTCATACCTCTTCACAAGTGCAAACAGTGCAACCATGTGAGACGTAATTGCGTGAGCTAGAGCTGCCTTTTAAGCTCGTTCTTAATCTTCTGAGTACCTGATTCCTAATCATCCTGATTAGCACTTCAGTCCCTGAATCCATGCCTTCATGTTTTCCTATCACTGTTCCTGAGGAACAGAAATGCTACTGATGGATTTCTTTCAGTTTAATTGCATGACAACTGACTTGTATTTAACAATTTCCGATTATAACTTCAGCACAAACCTGGATTGTCTTAAAAGTATTGACTGTTTGTAGGCTCTGTGCTGTTTTTATTTCCTCCCTTCTGTCTTTTTCTGGTTTAGCACCAATGCGCCATTAAAAAATATTTTGTATGCAGATATTGCTAATATATAAATGACCATTATTCTGCACTCGGAGATCACTTGCAGGTCATATTCACACCCTTTGTTGTATTTATCTCTGAATATCCTTGAATTACTTTCAGAATAATTCAGTATGTAATAATAGTACTTGGTCTGATTGATAGGGCACATTGGGTTTTTCTGAATGGTTTTGTTACTGTCCTTAAACATTGAAACAAAGTATAAAGAGTCCTTTTGGTTGTGAAAACATCTTTTTTTCCTTCTCTTTGAATTTGTCTGATAATGATCATATTTTCTAAAGATGATTGATTATTTAATGCTACCTTTCCTCCTGAATAGTTTGCTGAATTCAAAAATAGCAATCTAATTAATAAAAAATAATTAAAAAAAAAAAAACAACACAAAACCAAAACCACAAAAAGAAACAAACTGCTCTTTTAGAATTGCAGGGTTAATACTGAATCTGGATCAAGTTGTTAAGGACTTTGTCCCTTTGGGTCTTGAAAACCTCCCCAGACAGTGTGTGTTGTTGATATGATAGTTATTGGTATTTAAATATGTTATTTTTGAAATGGAATGTTTGGCAATTTTATGCTTTTCCTTAAAGAAATTCAAACCTCTGGGTGATTTCGTCAGAACCAACTCTCCATCCCAGCCTATCGTGCCAAACTCCCAAAGAAACAGCGGGAAAAGTCAGCGGGAATGCTGTAGCTGCGGTTAATGCCGAGCCTGCTGTGGGTTGGAAGGATGGCACCATAGGCAGCACAGCTACTGCGCCCCCGCCAGGGGCTCTGTCGGGACGGGGGCTTTGTCACGCGGGGTGTGAGGCAGGATCTTGTGTTTCATAAAGGCAGTCCTTTGTGAAAACAAAAAACATTGCAGGTGTTTGAAAAGGAATTGGAAAGAGGACTTTTTAGGGAGTTCTGGGTTTGTTTCAGTGCACCCAGAGGGACGTGTGTTACAAAATGCTTCCAGAAGTGTAACTCTTAGTCAGCTTTTAAGGACTTCTTCTCTTGGTTTCATTTTTCACTTCTCTTTTTCTGTATCTGTACTTCTCGGGGTAATCACTTCCACTCAGAGACTCTCCAGGGAAGTAGGATTTATTGTAGATCTCAGCTGGAGATTATTTATTTTGATTAACGAGGCTAAAGAGAACAATATTTGCCACGTAGATCAATAAGTAATCTCCTTTGTAGCTACTTTTATAAGAGAGGCAGATTTTGATTGCTCAGTTATAGCAATATTGTATTGTGAACAATGCATTTTCTTGTGAATGTTGTTTACTATTTTTTCTGTAGGAACCAGCAGTGAGAGCGAAGAAGAGATTGTTTTCCAGAGAAAAAATTGGAAAAAAAAGAATGTTTTGAAGTCTCCTGATGTGAGTCTCAAGAAAAGAAAAAAAAAATCAACAAAAAAGATGAGAAGCAGAGTGACAAGTCAAACACCAAAACAAAAATCCCCTTTTGCAATTATATGTATTTCTGTTTACATAGGTTATGAATGATAGTGATTTTGAATCGCCGATTCGTGCCGTCAGAAAACGTCGACACCCACTTAGCATGGTTAGTAAGTGCTTTGGTAAGACAGAAGGAAAATAATGCAAACTCGTTTATTCAGTATATATTTAAACATTTACTCTTTCTCCAGTCATTAGACAAGTGTTCTTATCACAAATATTTTATGCCGTCTGACCTAAGGGATATTAGAACATAATTTCTTTCCTTCCTTCGATTCTTTCCTGAGGTCTCCACAGATGACTCTGTAGTTGTTGTTTGGCAGTGAAATATTGTTATAGGCAGGAGAGCTGAGCCTCTCCCTTTGTAAAAAGCAGTAAAAAACCTTTCTTCCAGAAAGCTTTGAATCAAAAAAAAAAAAAAAATCATGTCACATTTGACCTGATTTGTCTTCCAAAGAATATGTTTTTTCTGTTCCTTTTGTATTTAACAAGATGATTAGCATTATTGCATTATTTTGCCATAGCAAATCAATCACAAAAAAATCAGGTGTTGCTTTAAAAAAACCCTAAATGTTGAATGATGACTGTGTAATTAAAATATTGCTTTAGTCGTATTTATTGAAGTGTTTGTGCAATGTTCCTCTAGTCAGACATGTCCAGTGATGACAGCATGGATTTTCACAAGAACTCCAGTAGGACCACCAGTAGCAGCTCAGCAGCACATAAGAAACAGCTGAGAAGTACGAAACGGCAAAAGGTGAAGAACAATTTTACGTACAAGGTATGTGACGTTACATGTCTGTCTGAATATGCTGAAGGTCGTATTTGGAGCACTGGGCATTGAAGTTGCATTGGAGGTAGGTGCTGGGCTTTGTCATGTGTGGGTAGGAATGTATGTGCATGTTTGCAACATTGCAAAACCTAGTTCAAAAGAATGCGCCTTTGAACATGAGCAGCATGTTTTGCCAAACAAAACCGAAAAAAAGAGACAAAGAGACTTTATGAGATTCTGCTTTCTGTTCAAACTGCAAGAATGAACTGAAAGTATTTTCTAATTTGTCTATAGTGAAATTTAAAAAAGATGTGTCAGAAATGTTGAGCACTGGCTTCACATAGTTGAGACGAAAATTTAGTGTGTGATTGAGTCACTCATTCTGGAACTTCTGTCTGTTTTATGGCCTAAAAAATGGAGCTTCTATTTTATGGCCTTTGTAGGATCTCATGATACAACTATGTTATGGTAGGCATGCCGTTGGGCAGTTGTTTGTTGTCAAGACATTGTTTAGGAGGGTTGAGGCTCACAGCTATTTCACACAAGTTTATTGCAAACATTTGAGATGAGTTCTTGAAACACCGGATAAGGATCTTAACCCTCACATCCATTGCCTGACTTTCAGAGGAATCTGCAGGACCCTGCAGAACAATGTTCTGAAGCAAAATAACAATTTACATTACGAGTAGAAGATACTCAACGATTTGTCAGTCTCGGGAAGCTCGCGTTCTTGTCTAGAACTTGCGCTAGTAGGATACGCGATCATATGAATTTTCCACCTACTCTAATGGTTTCAACTTTGAATATCTTAAGATAGCAACGGTCCTTCAACCCCAAAGCTTAAATCTTAGCTTAGTATTTTACACTTTAATCTGTCACTGCATCAGGAATGGATGCTGGAGAGGATGTAGGGCCAGAATCATATATTCATAGTAAGTTAAAAAGCTCTTAAATATGCACAGATGTGGTTCCGCTAGGCAGAAATTACTGTTATCGAGGCTTTGGGACACATTATTTTGGATATTTTTAACGTTTTTAAAGATAATCTTCATTATGGAGACCTCCCCATAGTACCAGTGATGAAAAATCCATTTTTTCAATTTTATTTAAACACTTTTTTTATGTGAGACCAAAAGGTTCACGGAAAGAGAGTGTGTATGCTTATGAAATACTTCTCTGCCTTCACATATTATCTTACCTAAACATCCATAGTGATGAACATGTCAGAATTCCACATCCACAGAAGATCCAAGAGATCAAAATCGTTCTGATCAGTTCACCATGAGTTTGGTGTTCTGTCAGAAGTACAGGTAATGGAGTTGTAAGTGCAGCACAGATCTGCAGTTAGATTAACAGAGACTGTGAGAAGTCCAAGGTGACCAAAATAGCCACCGGCAGTGAATTCAAAGATTCAATAAATAATTCAAAAACCTGGTAACTTATTGTTTCCCAAGTGTGACAAGACTCTCTGCTGTTAGTTTCTGGTGTCACAGTGCTTTTCACGCTGCAGGGTTTGTCCTCTCCATAGTCCTTCACAAGTCAGAAGGATTAAGACTAATTGGCAGCAGCATTGAGAGTTCTTTCCTGTAAACAGGTGACCTCCAGTGTGTTTCAGAATAATCAAAACTGGTCTAGAAAAGGAACTATTAATAATGCTTGTCATTCAGGCTTACTAATTGGTGTAAGCAAGTATTTAAAAGACTTAGGAAAATTTGAAAATCAAATAGGTCACTTATTGTAGCAGAAGATGCCGTAGCCTGCCATGTACTAAACAATTTACAGCTTTGTGGTCTTTATTCAAAGTATTTTGAAGTCAAACAAATCATTCTTTTGGAGTAATTGGGACACGTAATGTGTTTTGGGTTTTTTCACATTTTACTTTAGTACTTCATAGCTGAAATTATGAGAGAAAAAGTTAGCTTAATACAAAGTAACTCTGACAAAACATTTTCCTGAATTCATTTGTCTTGTTTCCATGTACATTCTTGTGAATGTTTTGTTGTCTGGTTCTGATGGAACTTAGTGCCAAGGTTTGTATCATGTCTCCTGGACTGCAGTTCACTGTGAAGTGCCTCATCTTCCCTGAAAGACGAGCATTTTCTCAATAATGAGTTGCATTGTCTGATGAATTCATGAAACAATCCTAAGCCCTAAAAAGAAAAGGGCAAACCAGTGTGAAGTCTGTATCTGACGTTTCTAGTGGGCTCAGGTTCAGAGTAATCCAGCACTTCAAAATCCAAACAGACTTTTGAAAGCAAATAAAATGAGTAAAACTCATTTCTTGTAGCTTAGCTACAATGTGTTAGTAAACTCTGCCTGTACTAGTAAGGAGTCTAGGTGCAAACACACTGTGCTGACCTTTGGCCAGTGCTTTGAAGTGGATGCCAGCTTCACCCTTCCGTGCTGGTGGGACAGACACGAGCTTTGGTTCTTCACGTCACCTTTCCCTGTGGTGGATTCTCTTTTCAAAGCCAAAAGCCGAATATCTGTGACCACTTAAGCAGCTGATGTTCTGAAATCATGAACTGATTTAATCGGAGGTCTCATATATAACATTAGTCAATTGGGAGACAGTGTTGAACTAAAATTTTGTTTGGATTTTTTTCTCTTTCAGAATGCAGCAAGACAGTTTTTAGATGAAGAAGCTGAGCTGTCCCAGCAAGATGCAGATGGTGTGTCATCTGATGAGAGTGACGCAGAGAACGAGCTGAACTCTTCACTTGCTCAGTTCCTGAATGACGATGTGGAGGTCACCCAAGTGTTAAACGGTGAATGAGGAGAGTTGTTTGTGGTTTTACAATAAGGCATGTTGCTTAGCAAATGGTGTGCCATAGGCACGGCTGTTCGGTCAGCTAGGGTGTCAGCGGGTGTCAGCTAAGAAGCAGTAACTCCTCAGCTGGGGTAAATCCATTACCAGCTTTTATTCGCATGGTTTTCTTATGTAGTAAGCCCCTCGCTGGGGTCTGTACCGTGCAATAGCTTTGGGCAGGTTGGATTCAGTTCTTCGAGGGTTGCAGGGGCAGGAGATCACCTCTCGCTAAGCGTCAACCACCCCTTTTCCACCATTGTGACTGAACAGAAACACAATTTTCCATTTTGCTTAGAAATTTCTGAATCTTGCAGGTCTTCTGCTACAGAGAGACTTAAAATACGATATGAAATAATGATATGAATATTAAAGATAAAATTACAGTGTTGACACTGCCAGAGCTGAGAAGGTAATGCTGGGGTTTGGCCAAGATGGTTTACTTATCCCTCTGCTTAAGAACCTTGCCTTTCCCTGGGATATGCGCACGATGGAATCATCTTACTACTGTTTAAGGTTCCCAGATATTGCTGAGGATTTTTCTCCTCCACCAAAATTGTGAGTTCTTCCCTGTAAGATCCTGTGTGGGCTTCATGAAACCCACCCCTTTCTCAGACAGTCTCTGAAATCAGTTGTTTTGTCTGTTTTGGAAGAGGCTTGCAACACGGACAACTGAGTGATTTGGGGTTGCTGTGGTTAACGTTGCCCTTCTCCCTGCTACGGGCATCCAGAGCTCTGCCGGCTGAGGCAGCTTTCGTGACGGCAACCTGGGTAGACCTAGTCCTTTGCTTTGGGATTTTCAGAGATGTCTGGAGAATTCCAAATTTCTGTTTTGTGTGACTATAAAGGAATTTCTTAATGTGGAAAACGCAGTGCAACAATAATGAATTAAAAATTGTATCCTTAGTAATATCGTATTCTCTTTTATCTTCTTGTTTTAATTCAGACTGTGAGATGAAAGGAGTTTACCTGAAATCTGTGCGTAGTCCAGCTCTTGGCAATAGATACAAAATGGTTCACCGTGACTTCAACAGCATGGCAATTTTCTCACAGGTATGACACAAAATGACGGCTGTCCTTGTGAAATTGCAACTGCCTGTGACCGCATTTAGGTTCTAATGCTACGTAGTTTGCAGCCTATTGCTGATAAATAGTAAGCTCTAACAAAACACTTTTGACTTCATTTTGGTTTTTAAGTTAGTGTGCAGGCACTTAGGCTTAGATAGAAGCATACGCACGCTGTTCTCCAGCCGGTGAGAGGCTGTCAACCAGTCTGAAGCGAAAGCATCCCAGTCCCCGGCCTTTTCAGTGAAGAGTAGTGCTCATTGTTGATGGGTGTAGCACTGCACAGTGTTTCCAGGGTTGGACACTTATCTCCCCCTCTCCGCTGTCATCCACTGTCGTAGAGGATACTGACTGACATCTTCTGAGGACTAGTCGTCTCCCCCAGCATGTGACATTTCCAGTCTCTTAACTGAATTCCCAGTTTGGTGAAACGGCCCACCCCCAGAGGTGTAACAGTCTGGGCATATTCGGGTTACCCAGTGGGCTGTCAGTTGCCCTGCGCTCTTGTTGCCAGACAAGCAGCAGTGCCAAGAGATCAGCTTTTCTCTAGCGGTTAGAAGGTGTAAGGTTGGAAACATCTATGAGAAAATAGTGTGTCATGTTTAACCGTGCTTGTTGCTGCTCCCCAGCACCCTCTGGCAGGGTGCCCCTGCTGTCCTGTGTCCCCAGTGCTACTGGAGACTGGCCCATTACGTGGTCCCCAGATGCTAGTTGTGTCCCTGCTGTGTGGGGCAACTACTGAGCACAAATGCCCCCCCGCCCCGCCCAAGCAGATCCTTAGCCAAGCTCTTGCCCCGCTACATACAGTTATTGGTATGCACTAATTCTGTCTACTCATAAGTGTCCGTGAAACATTGCTGGATTACCATAATGGAGCTTCTTTCAAAATGTTAACTTCTTGGTTCGGTTTCTGTCAAACCCGGCTGTGTTCCCCCTCCATGTGAATGCCGCATGGTGCTCAGCTGAGACATTTCCTACGTGATCTGTCTTCTGGGTTCTCTTTTACTCTGAACTCTTCATACATCACATGACAGAAATCACTTGCACAGTATTTTTTTGAAACAGAATGGGAAAAATGGATGCTCAGGGTGGTTCCTTATCATCCATCTTTTATCAAAGGTGGATGAAGATTCCTTATCCACCACTCCATTTTTTTCTCTGTATCTCTGTTCTTGATATCACCTTCAGCACAATAAAATTGAGATCTGTATTTGATGAAAAGTGTAAATCATTTTTTTGTTGTTGTTGTTAACACACAAAAATCCCGGTTGAGTCAACAATTGACTGATTATTTGCAAGCAGAGAAGAGGAATGCACGGGACTCCATGCCCAAGCAGCCTCGGCTTATTACAGTGTCAGGTTTGCTGTGGTTTCGGCTGAGGCAGTGTTGCTGAAAATGCAAAGCTTGAACTTCCGTTTCATTTTACGCATTGTAAAGGCGTCGTAAAGTGTTTCTGCCAGCAAGCCTTGTGTGTGTGCTGCCGAGCTCGCTGTGCATGTGCTACGAGGTGTGGAATCTGCTTTTCTTCATGCAAAACCACAACTTGTCCCCAGTGTGCAAACGTGGCGGCTCAGAGCCCTTCCCCTGTGCAGGGCAAAGGGGAGATTCCCGTCTGTAATTCCAGCCTGTTTGATAGCGCTGTTAGCGAGCCAGTCTCGCTTCTCTTGCTATGCTACACTTAATATTCCCATTAAAAGCTTTCTGGTGAGGAATGGTGGGCCTGGCGGAAGTCTGAGCGTGCGCTGGTTGCAGGCGCAGCGAGGAGCGTGTGGGGCTCTCCGGGGAAGCAGCTCAGGAACTGCAGAGCATATTCCGCAGGGGGGGCTGGGGAGCGGCGAGGAGCCCCCGGGCCCCGCAGTGCTTGCGCAGAGGATGGATTGCATAAGCAATGCACCTTTATAGAGAGGAGGAGCAAGATCATTACAGTGTTTCAAAACTTACTGGGTTTGGTTTTTCCCCCCCCTACAGATTCCTGAGCAAGACCAGACTTATGCAGAAGACAGTTTCTGTGTCAGAGAGGAGGAAGAGGAAACTTGCAGAAAAAGTGAATCTAGTGAGGAGGAAGTGTGCGTTAATTTTGATCTCCTAAATGATGAGAGTTTTACTAGTGGGAAAAAACAATACCTCACTCGCCGCAGAAAAAAATTAAACCAGGCCAGGATGGAAGACAACTATTCTATCCCAATGCAAAAGAGGAAACCGTCCCGAATTATTGTTCTCAGTGATTCCAGTGAAGAAGAAACAAGTGTCAGCCATGAAAAGCCCATGAAAACAGAGTGTTCCAGGGCAGAACAGGAAAATACTAAGTTACCCAAGTCATTGCCTGCAGTCTCTTCTGCACAGCACAAAAACATTGCTGGGGAAACTAGTGTTCCTCAGTCTGTGGAGAGTAAGGGCGAGATGCTTCTCGGCTTGAAAGCTTCAGTGTCTGAAACGCTGGATTTTCACCCAGCCCATCGAGTCAGGAGCACACGCTTTCCACCACATCTCACTAGTTCTGATTCGGGGAAGGAGCATCTCCAGGCTCCCACTGAGGTCAGTGTTAATTCAAAACAAGGACCTTCCTCTCATCTCAGGTTTTGCTAAAGAGTCCCCCATGGGGGGAACCTGTCCTGTGGTTTTGAGGGCTGTCAGCAAGACCGCAGGAAGAGAAAGAGTTTCTGGTGATAAAGGAGCAGTTCTGCTTGTACGGCTTTACATCGTCTCCCTTTTCTTTGGTATAGGAAGCTTCTGTACTCACAGGATAACTCGGAGAGTATCTTAGCAGTCAGTAAATAGATCTGTGGATCAGATACTGTCTTGAGCCTGACAATCACGGAGGAATATGGATCTATTTCAAATAGTAGGCAGTGTCCACTAATTCTTTGGGGTTTGTAGTTATACAATGCTTATACACTGTCCTTAAGACCTGTTCATAGTCTGAGGTTGGATCTCTGATCTTGCATGTTTCTGCCTGACTTGTATCGTTTACAGTATTCAGTTTTTGTTGAACTCATTACTGAAGGCTGCACACATGTCATTCAAGCTACTAAATAATTAGATCAACCAATTTGGGGGACTGTTTATAGGGGATTAAAGTGTTAATCTGAAAGTGTTTAAGTTTTGCGATATCAAAAAATAGCGCTTTTTTAAAAAGATTTTATTAATTGGATTTTTGGAAAAAAAAACAACCAACATGTAGCAAAGTGTATCTGTTAAGTATCGGTATTTGAAAGCTGTTTGGTTTTTTTCATTGGTGTGTTTTTCTTTGGCCTTATGCTTCTGTGATCTCTTAGAAATACTGCGTGATTTTTCAACATTTACAGGTGGAAAGTTCTTTGAAGAACACATGCAGGAGCCCTTCAGTTCCACCTCGCTCAGCTTCCACAAACCCCTCTTCAGCAACAGCTCTGTTTTCTCGTGACCCTGTGGAGAAGAGACCTCCACTCTGTGTCCTGGTTGACAGCCGTGAGATCTCCTCTGGCGCAGAGGTGATTTCTTCCCTGAAGGCCGTTCATGGAGTGAAGGTGCAGGTTTGCTCGCTGAGCAGCAGCGATTACATCGTCAGCAACCGCATGGCCGTGGAAAGGAGATTCCTGTCGGAATTGCTGAACTCTGGGAACAGGAGTAAAGTCACCCAGCGGATCCAGCGCCTGCAGAGCATGTTTGAGAGAATATGTGTGATTGTGGAAAAGGACAGGACTAAAACAGGTGGGTGTTTCCAGGCGTGGGGACGCACTGGTATGCTCAAGTCTTGCACTGGCCACACTGGCTTTGTGTATAATACGGGACAGAAAGTAGATTGAAAACCTGTATTTTAGTCTCTGTAGGAATATTACAGTAATAAGCTCACCAGCTGAACATTAAAATTTGTTTTGCTTTTGAGGGCAATTTAATATTGGCAGATACATGACTGGATCCAGAGGGATACGTTACTTAACTTGCTTTTCCCTGCTTCGGTAATTATTAACTGCATATATTTATACCTGCATATGAATGTGTGCAAAAAACCCCCAACTTCCCAACAGATTTCGGCAAGGAGAGAATAGTACAGTACAGGAATAAGCACAGCCTGATCTGTGCTCAGCACTGGAATCATAGTGGACTCAAGAGAAGTAATTTTTCTAGCAGTAACCTCATGAGTGGCAGCTGTCAAACTACGGGAAACCTGTCACGGTTTAGCACCAGTGAGAATGGTAGCCGGCCTGAGCACCCCGTCCTGCAGGGGGTAAGTCTGCCTCCAAAACGCAGAGACCAAACCAGGTAGTGGCTGCTGCTTGGACAAGCAAACGAGAATCACCTGCATGGAATCAGTTTTTAGAAAAAGACAAAAAGAGCACTTCTACAAAGAGTGACTTTGGGAAGTCTGTGAGCTATTGCCTCGTGTCACAAGGCACAAAATGGAGCAGCCTCAGAGACACCTCCTGACTTGATTTAAACATTTGTGGAAAATTCAAGACTATTTCTTTAATTTATATAGTTTGGACAAGCCATTTGTTTTAATCCTAAGATCCAAATTACACAATCAAATGGTTTTACCAACGCTGTCTATTCTCAGTGCCATCTAGAAAATAATGGAGAGGTCTTGCTTGCACCTGCTTCATAGAAGATGGGGCTAGAGCTCACAGCTCCAATTAAATTACAGATATTCTGGGACATAAAACTCCACTACTGAAACCAAATTGTTGTGGATACAGCTTTGTTTTTGTGACATAAATCTAATTTATTGATGGTTCAGATATGGAAACAATGATAGGATTGGTCACTAAAGATGTAGCTTCTCAGCGGGGGCTGTAGATAAGTGGATTGTATTTGAGCTGCCTCTTTACCCTGCTGCTGGTGTCATTCGTTTTCGTGGTTCTGTCCAGTTTTTCTCATGACGCTGTTTCCAGAGCGCTGCTGTTTCTTATTTGACAGAGAGTTCAAATGCATTCTTACTTTTGTAGCTCTACAAAACCTCTTCTGATTTCTGTGGTCTGTCCTGTTCATCACTTACCATGCGTTCCTCCCAATCCTCTCTCCTAATGATGTTTAATTTGCATTTTCAGTGTTAATTCCTAAACTCTACCGCATAAATAACCAAGTAAATCCAGCTCCCATGACGCCTCCTGCCTCCTTTCGATGAGATATTTTCCTTTGTCTTGTTTTTGAGTTCTCAGAGCTGGACATCTTTAAATCATTTTACTTCGCAAGTGATCCATATTAGATTTTTTTTTTTGCAGTCATTTAGCACTTCCAGTAAGATTTTACTGTGTTTTCTGTAATTTCACTCTGCAGGAGAAACGACACGATTTTTCCAGAGGACACAGTACTACGATGGTGTGCTGTCAGCCCTGGTCCAGGCTGGGGTCCGGATTCTCTTTAGCTCTTGCCAAGAGGAAACAGCCGGTTTGCTGAAAGACCTGGCTTTGGTGGAGCAAAGAAAAGACGCCGCCATTCGCGTGCCAACGGAGGTGGAGGGTCACAAACGGGAAATGCTCAACTTCTACCTGAGTATCCCTAATCTCAGCTACCTGGCTGCTCTCAATATGTGCCATCACTTTCACTCGGTGAGGAAGATGGCCAACAGGTAACAGCAAAGATGTAGAGCAAGTGCTTTGAGGCCTGACTTTCCTTTCGCTCCTCTCTCATGCGGGACCTGCTGCTGGGGTAGTTGCTCAGAGATCCTTTCTCCACCTTTCTGTTACTCCCCAGGAGCCTCCCTGTCCCCGCACCAGTCCTGCGCTGCTCTTGATGCAGTTCTCAGTCCCTTCCAGCTGAGCAGCCCAGGGTGATGACAAGGGCTCTGCTTTCATTCTCCCACCTACTGCCAAACCTTTTCCTTTCCCCTTTCATGGCATTGCAGTTTTTCTGCAGCGCTTTTAGGCTTGTTTAGCTCACAGCCCTCAGAAACCTGGAGAGGGGTGACCGCCAGCAGCTCGTGGTGTTCCTGTTGCTCTCTTCACACTGGACACTTCTTGCCCACTGGCCGTTTCCCCTGTTCCCAGTATTGCCCACTGGACTCCAAAGAGCTGCAGGTGAGGTGCCTTCCCGCTGTGATCTCTTACAGCTCCCCACTGGACATCGCCACCGGTGCCCAGGTCAGCCTGCAGAAGGCGGAGGAAATCTACCGCTACCTCCACTATGGGTTTGACGCACAAATGCTGCCCAAGGACCTCTGCGCTAAGGGGAGAAGCAACACAGCTGCCAAGAGCTGAGGGGAATGAAGCTCTGTTTTCTTTTAACTGCACTTTACTGAGTTTTGATTCACTGTATAATATGTAAATAAATCCTTGCAGAAACTTCAGGGCTTTTGGTATGCTACATCTGCTTGTTTGCCACCTAAGGCAGGGCTGTCTCCGCTGGGCACTCTCACCTGCCTGCCCCCAGCAGGGTCACGTGCTGACCCGCTGTGCCACACGGACCAGTGCGTGGGGTGAATGCATACACAAGGGCGGGTTGTGTTTGCTGCATATGATCATTCTAAAATTCACAGAATTCACAGACTGGTCAGGGTTGGAAGGGACCTCTGGAGATCATCTAGTCCAACCCCCCCACCAGAGCAGGGTCACCTACAGCACGTTACACAGGACAGCGTCCAGGCGGGTTTGGAATGTCTCCAGAGTGGGAGACTCCACCACCTCTCTGGGCAGCCTGTTCCAGTGCTCCACTACCCTCAAAGTAAAGAAGTTCCTCCTCATGTTAAGATGGAACTTCCTATGTTCAAGTTTATGCCCATTACCCCTCGTCCTATCACTGGGCACTACTGAAAAAAGACTACTCCCATCCCCCTGGCATCCTCCCATTAAGTATTTGTATGTATTAATAAGATCCCCCCTCAATCTTCCTTTCTCTAGACTAAAGAGACCCAAGTCCCTCAGCCTTTCCTCATAAGAAAGGTGCTCCAGTCCCCTAATCATCTTTGTTGCCCTTTGCTGGACCCTCTCCAGCAGTTCCCTGTCTTTCTTGAACTGGGGAGCCCAGAACTGGACACAGTACTCCAGATGCGGTCTCACCAGGGCAGAGTAGAGGGGGAGGATGACCTCCCTCGACCTGCTGGCCACACTCTTCTTGATGCCCCCCAGGATGCCATTCGCCTTCTTGGCCACCAGGGCACATTGCTGGCTCATGGTCATCCTGTTGTCCACCAGGACTCCCAGGTCCCTCTCCACAGAGCTGCTCTCCAGGAGGTCAGCCCCCAACCTGTACTGGTGTGTGGGGTTATTCCTCCCCAGATGCAGTACCCTACACTTACCCTTGTTGATGACATCATCATCGCTCTAAAGTGGCTGGAGCATTTTGGCAAAGTAAAGCAGAAAGGTGGTGAGAGAGGGGAAGGACCGTACGTGCAGTTACTTGTCACTGCAAGATTGGTCCCCGTGTTTCCTAGGACAAAAGTGAAGTGCCAGGCGTTCCTTATTCTTCTTGCCCAGAACGCTGAAGGGTTTGCTGGGTGTGAAGTAGAGATGGGTGTTCCCTTGCCCTTAGGTGGCCTCACAGCTGCCCTCTCCTCATGGCCACCCCTGTGACCGTGGCTTCACTGCTCCTCCGGCTGCAGGTGGGGTGACTCCCCAGGTGCTCCGGGCCAGGCTGCAGCTCGCTGCTGCCACACTGTGGCTGCCTGGCAGAGGAAGGGCTTACTTTTATTCCTTCCCAGCCCTTTCTGGAGCGTGTTCATGAAGGCACGGTCCAGCAAGAGGGCCGTGAGGGGAGCTCAGTAACCTTGCTGACAGAATATAGACCTGGTGTCAGCCATGAATGGCTTCAAAACGCAAGAGAGAGGATGAAAACAGACAGGCTCAGATAACCAAAACAAGAGCACTGGAGAGCTTGTGAATCCTGCTTCTCCTCCCCAGAGAGTAAAATCTGAGTGTCCTTATTTATTACATTAATGAAATGTAAAAATTCAAACTTTCATTAGAGGAAATTAAAAAGCAATTCCCATTAGTTACAGACTGTATTATTATAAATTTATTATACAGCCAAAAAGATATTTCATCTTATCTTAAAATGAATCAAAACTTGCCAGTAATTGGTATCCCAGTACATTTCTCCCTCCCCCAGAAGAAACAGGGCAAGGGGAAGGAAGAGCCTGGGCAAGTAAGTGCCACTTTGTACACACGGAAAACAACAAACATTGCCAGACAGGTGGCAAGATGAGAATGGTGTTAAAACACATAAAAACACTGCAGGTCAAGTTTTCCAAGCTGAACTCGGAACGTCACAGAGGGGTGGCCAAACCCTTTTGCTTCATACAAGCAGCTTAGTGTTGAACTAATAAAATCCACACAGTTCATTAAACAGAAAAATAGGAATCATCCTGGTCTTCATCTGATGAA